GGAAACACCTGGCTGAGGTAGGTGGCTGGGTGTGCTCCAGGAAAGAGCTACTTCTGGGAAGTGTGTTGTGACAGTAGTGGTGTTGGGCCAAGATAGAACACTTGTCAGATTATAGCGACCGGAAAGTGAGCTTCTCCATCACAGGTGCCAGTCTTTAAATTATTTTTCCATCATATAAACCAATGATTGGGCAATTTAAGGGATATATGGAACTTTACAAAGAAACTGAAAGTGTAGAGCCAAGAATGGTGGTGTGTTCCTATGATGTCATCAGGAGGCAAAACAGGACTCTTTCTAGTACCACAATAGCCTGGGCTACATGGAGAGAGTGCCAGAACATTCTGAGACCCTGTTGCAAACAAATACACACAGCTGTATGGATTTGTTGCAGTACCTAAATATCCATTTGGCAGTAAATCCCGCACACAATATCCTTTTGTGGTAGATCCTTCTAGAAACAGATGTAATTACCGCACCCATCCTGCACATCTTTTTGCAGTGTGACTATGTCCGTAAGAAGAGAAATTCTGTTTTCCCTGTGTTTGATAATGGACTGACTACAACCAAAAGCTTGCCTAGAAAGTGATAGCAGGTAATAGGTTTGCTGCCCCCTTTCCCCATAATAAGTTTCTTCCCTAAACTGAAAAAGTATAACAACAGATATATTGAACAAAGCAACTCCCAAGTGGTTTCACCAGTCTCAGGTCTCAGAGAGGCCAGAGAAGTCTTGCACACCCCAGGCAGGGCATGAAAGTTTTATAAAATGTAGGTAAGGGGTGATGGCATGTCTGCCACAAGCTAGATTTGTGCCTAAGTGTGGTCAAACGCTGAGTGCTTAGCTGGGGACTTGGGTGCCTGGTAGCAATAGAGAAGGAAACTGCAGTAGTTCCAAGAGTGCAGAACTAGACTTTTGGTGCCTTTTCTTTGTTTGGAGACTTTCTGAGCAGGCAGGGTTTGGAGAAAGAGAGAGAGACAGAAATGGGGCTTCCTGGACCATACACGGGCGAGCAGGAGGCTCCAGCTGAACATCAGCTTTCAAGACAAGCCCTTTTAAGGCCTTCAACTCTGTTCACCTTTATGGGAATAGATACCAGGTAAGAAGCCAGAGCCAGGGTAAAATGATGGGAAACCATGTCCATAAAGAATAATCATGAGGAGTCCTAAATGTAGGTAAGCCTAGGCTCTAAGGTCCGGGAGGGAAGCCATCACCATTCCATAGTCTAGCCTGATCCACATAGCCCGAATCACCAGAAATCAAGATTAGCTGTGTCCTCTGAGCCCTCCAGAAGTTCCAAGCAACAAAACGCTGAAGTCACTATCTTTTAGAATGGTTTATACAGCCATAAATGATCAATTTAACATTTTTTCATGTTTAGTTTTTTCATTCAGGTTCTTTTATAAATCACTTTTTTTAAACCTGAAAAATTTTAATTAAAAACACCATAGAAATTTCTCATAGATTCTTAACTACGTATGTGTTAGTATTATCTCAATTATCCTTATAGTTAAGGCTTGTCCACTGACAGAAAAATACTAAAATATTTTAAAGGTATTGTTAATCCCACTGGATGAGAATAAGACCACTACCACAGGCTATGTCCTTCCGACCTTTATCCAATCAGAAGCAAGCATACATTAGAATTATTTCCTAGATTTTCTCCCCTATATTACGTGCATATGTCTATATAATTAATATTTTCATGACAATTAGCATATAAATACACACATAATAAATAAAAATAGCTCATAAACACAAAAATATTAAGCTTAACAAAGCAGCAGTCAGATGCACATAGTTAAACATCACCTTGATTAACCAATCTTGTTATTCATGGTGCCAACTCAGTTAATCAGTGTTCGTGGCTTGGATACTGAACTGGAGATTAATGACAAAGTGGAAGCAATTGTAGGATCCAGATTTTTAAGAAAACACACATCATACCCCAAACGGCATGCATGGAATCAGTGTAGCCAGTCGTCTGTGGTGATGTATTTTCAGTGTTCTCCTTCACTGGGCCACTGTGAGCAGCCACTGGAGCTGGCAACGTACTGATCAAGGAAGATTGGCCTCTCACCAGGGCTCCTGAACCTCTTGTGTTCATATTTATCATTTGAAGAGCTGAAGAGAAGACTATGAAGGGGTGTTTTTGTCTAAAATTTACAAATGTAAAGTTGCTTTTTATTCCTCTAAATTAGATTTGTAAAGCAGATAGGTTAATTATATAGTTGCAGTAAAGCATATTACAAATATAATATCTACACTTATCTCAACTTGGTTGTCAAACATCAATTGTACAGCGTCAGATTTCCCTTAACCTCATGGGCCTTTAATGCAAAATGAATTGAGAAGTGAGTTGAAAACTGTATTGTTCTCTTGCCACTGAAGGACATTTCCATGGAAAAGAATCTTACTCTGGTATATCCCTTAAGTGATTTGCTTTTCTCCTTGTATGATGGATGAAAAAACAGGAAGGATGTGTGTGAGTGTGTGTGTGCGTGTGTGTGTGTGTATGTGTGCACGCATGCACACATGTACATATGTGTGTGCCCATGCATGTGGGGGGGCTGGTAATCAGGTCAAGAATGAAAGTAAATAATATCTGAGGAAATGGCTGAGTCAGTCACATCCTTAAAGGGCACCATAAGAACGCCAGATGACTCCTGCTTTTCCTCTTTGATTCCTTGAGAGACAGAAGAGGTCACTGATATTTAAAACATGTAGCCTCATAACTGCTTCTTCCTTCAAAAGTCAAAGCTAGGTGTTGATTTGCTCATAGCCCATGGCCCATCCTGTCACGGGTCGTGTGGTCCCACATGTGAACAGGAAGGTGAGAATGGGTGAACTCTCGCCTCGGTTGTGCCATCCATCAAAGAACAAATGGAGCAGATCCATGTGAGGGCTCTGTCCTCACACAGGGGCCTTTGTCTCCCGGACATGATCTGGCATTTGGAGGGGATGCACTGGGCCTCGACTTTATAGCAAATTACTAACCCATTATCACACTAGAACACAGGATCGTTTATCTTCTAATCCAAAGTGTCACCTGTTCTTCATTTACCAGTCAATAATCATTAATTATGCTCTGTAGAAATTTAAACAAAGCCTTATCCCTCTGTTAAAAAACCAGTAAACTCTTTAGCAATAACAAATAGATCTGGAATTGTATATCCTTTCCCTCCCCATTCCCAGACTGGAGTCTGGCACAGTTTGAACTGTAGAGGAAATGCCTAGAAATTGATAGTTGACAGGCCCCAGATAGTCTGATGGAAAGAATAGAGCGACTCTTGGTTTTGGCTCCCTTGAAAGCAAGAGGCTCTCACTGATCACCAGTCCTGCCAGGAACATACAAGTCCTAAGGACCTGACCTGTCCTCATGTAGACAGACCTACAGCAACCTGAAGTCACTCTTGTCCCTTCATTTCTTCTAATCCTTTGTTTCCTTCAGAGAGAGAGAGAGAGAGAGAGAGAGACTCACAGGAGATTTGAAAAAAAATCAGCTGAGTGGTCCTGGAGTGTCGACTAAAATGTTACTTTTTAGATTGGAAATCTGAGTCAAACACACTTGTTTGTATTTACCCTGTTCACATCTAGTCCCTCAGACAAATGTTCAAACAGAAATTGTAGCTGGAAACATATTTTTTCCTAAAACTCTAGAGATAGTTTGACAAAAGCCAAAATGTGTATGTGTTTGTCTGTGTGTGTCTGTATATGTGCATGCATGCTTATGCACACGTGTGTGTGGTCGGCGTGCTGCAGGTTTTCACCTAATTAAGAGAAGTAAAAGGGTTCTAAAGGGCAGCTTGAGACCGGGTAGGGCACCGTGCATTGTGTGTTTGGTTCACAGTGAGACAGCACTTATCCCAACAGGTAGACTCAGGACCCTGGTCCAGAACATGTCAGCAGAGGTCAACTTTTTGAGACAAATTGGGAATGAGCATACATTCCAGGTTATGAGACACATGATCAATCATAGCCTACAAGAAGTCCCAGGCCTACGCTTGTACATGAATACCAGCTACACCTATGTTTTAAAAATATTTTTGATGTGTGTGTGTGTGTGTGTGTGTGTGTGTGTGTGTGTGCACGTGTGTGCAGATGCCCATGGAAGATAGACAGGTCAGATCCCTGGAACACTGGAGCAGGCAGTTGGCGCTGCCTGATGTGAGTACTAGGAATCAAATTCCTGTCTTCTGGGAGAGCAGTGAGTAGAATGAAACACTGAGACATTTCTGCAGCCCCATAATCTATATCCCCATATATACATATATCTGTACAGTTGATATGTAATTCTAAGCTGTGGAAACTGTAGGCCTACATACTACTGATAAATGCTTTTCTAAACAAATAGAGTCAATTGTGGCAGTTGCTCCTAGTCCATGGTTCAAAATGCTACTTCATTTGTGCCAACCATCTTCTCTAACTCTCAGTATGAACATTTCCATCACACTATGAAGGCTGGATATCCAACGTTGACAACTTGTTCAAATGTAGTAGTTTCTACTATCTGACTCTACTAACAGTGTTTCTTTTTACTGCTATGTTTTACATTTAATTTTTGAGAAATGGGAATCTACTTTTGAAGATTTTAAAAGACTTTTTTTCTTTTTTGCCTGCCATCTGTGGCAGAAGGACAATTAAAAAATTCTTCTGAAGCTATTCTTGCATAAATATTATATACAAAGGTTATTCACTTGGTATTGATATATGGTTTCCTCTTAACTTGTGGTCTGGAGACCTACTGTGTAGGAATCTCCTGGCCTGCTGAAAATAAAGATTCCCTGAGCCAATGATCAGGACAAGCATTCACATCAAGATGTTCTTCAAATTTTTCTGATGTATATTAAATTATACGAGCTATCTTCAGTAATTAAAATACTACATTAAGTTCACACTCATTTTCCAATTCTAACTTCCATATCCAATCATGTGTTTTGATACTATTACATTCCCACCCTGATCATGAAGTAACTCTCACATGACTTTACTTCTTTCTCTCTAGGCTATGTGGCTAATGTTGCAAAATGATGAGCCAGAAGACTTTGTTATAGCCACTGGGGAAGTTCATAGCGTCCGTGAATTTGTTGAGAAATCATTCATGCACATCGGAAAAACCATTGTGTAAGTACACCTGCTGGTTGCTTGCTGCTTGCTCACCGGGTCTTTGTTGTTCATGCTCTTCTACTTGATTCTGCTTCCCATCTCCCTCTCTCAGTCTCTTGTAAAACAATATAGGAGGTCCTTTATGAGTCTCATATCCAACTCCAGTTAGTATGTCAAATCTTTATCAGCTTCTAAACCAGTCTTCTCAAGATTTATTTTTATTTTTTGAACTTAAAATTTATGGTAAGGTAAATTCTGTGTTGTATAATGACTTTATTACAGTTACCTGTATCCTTTTATGAGACCAATGTGAAAACATTACTCAGTATTTTTCAGCACTTTCATATATACGTACATATAAGTATATATTCATACATATATGTATACACACACACACACATGCACAAAGTGGTTGCTGTCCTGGAACTCTGTAGATCAAGCTGGACTCAAACTCTGAGATCCATCTGCCTCTGCCTCCTGAGTTCTGGGATTAAAAGTGTGTGCTACCGCTGCACAGCTTACATTTTATTTTAAGAGTCAGAAACCATCGAAAATTTAGAGAAGAGTTTCAGGTGGATTATACTTTTGTTTTCCTTGAGCCATTAAGAGTGACTGTGACTTAGTACTCTGTCATGCTGTACCTGTTTGCATGACCTACAGACAGTGACTTTCTCTTACCTGAATACAATAAGCCACCAACCCCTGGACACCGAGACTGATACATTGCTGCTGCCCAGCCTTCAGATCCCTCTGTGTTCCAGCAGTTGGTGTGCTTTCCTTCATACAAGCTCTCCCAGTGCGGTACATGCCTTACTCATGCTTGTGGCATCACACAAAATTTTATTGGAATATGAAAACAATTGTGATAAATCACTATGAAGAATTCTTTTTGTGGTTTAAGGCTAATATACAGTTTGATGACATTTATTACAGTCATAGTGATATAATACCATCACCACTATCTATTTCCAAACTTTTCCATCACAAATAAAAACAGTAACTCCTCCTTTCATTCTCCTACCTGGTAATTTCTGCTCTATGAATTTGCTTGTTCTTAGGTAGCTCCTGGCAGTCTCATCTTTCACATGTGTCTTTTTGTGTCTATCTTTTTAATTATCATGATGCTTTAAAATTCTTCCATGTGGTAGCATTTCATTTTCTTGAAAGACAGATAAGGAGCTGGATATAGTGATACAAGCCTATAATTTCCTAACTCGAGGAGCTGTCAGGAATACTAGGGGTGCAAAGTCAGTCTGATCTTTATATCTAGCAAGAGTTTTTTCTTAAACACAAAAAGACTGACCAGGTGGCACACGCCTATAATCCCAGCACTTGGGAGGCAGAGACAGGCAGATCTCTGTGAGTTTGAGGCCAGCCTGGTTTACAAGAGATAGTTCCTGGACAGGCTCCAAAGATACAGAGAAATCCTGTCTCCAAAAAAATGACTGAATATTTTATTGTGGCTATATGTCATATTTTGTGAATCCATTTCTCTATTGCTCGGACAACCAAATTCTTTTTACCTTGTTAGCTACTGCCAGTAGCACTAATGTGAATATTAATTCACAAATGCCTATGTTGGTCCTGCCTTCATTTCTTTCATGTGTTATATTTGGGTGTGAAATTTGTATGTTGTACGGTAATATGTTTAACTTTTTAAGGTGCAGATAAACTATTTTCCAAGATTCCTTTTTAAAACAGAAAAAAAAGTTTATGGAGTTGGCCATGATGAATAAAAGAAACTAGAGTTAACCTTTTTACTAATTATTTAATTATTGGGTTTATTTGTTTGTTTCTGTTTTGGGGACAGGGTCTCTCTTCAGAGCCCTAGTTATCCTGGAACTCTCTGTAATGACTAGACTGGTCTTGAACTCACAGAGATTCACCTGCCTCTGCCTCCCTGAGAGCAGAAATTAAAAATGTGCACACCTATGCCTGGCTACACGTAACCTTTTAATTTAACTGGTAGATTAGGTAAAATTCATGACAATACAGGACTGTGGTCCCTAATAGACTATCAGAATCCAGTATTGCTTTGACACCTTTCCTGAAGTCATAGTGAACCATGAGTTTAAAAATGTACACCCCCCCCCCGAGTTGAAAACTTTACTAAGAGTCTAAAAGACCTAGACTTTATAGTACAGAGCTTAATAAAGATGCTCTCAGAGTCCAGAAAGGGGCATTGAGTCTCCTGGAGCTGGAATTACAGGTAGTTGTGAGCTTCCCAGTATGGGTGCTGATCTTTTGCAAGAACTGTACATGATTTTAGCCACTGAGCCTTCAATCCAGCTTTGGTTAATGAATTCTCATGTTTGTTATGTGTAATAGTATCATAGACTGTGCCTTGCTGCTTTAGTTTTGTTATGGTACCTTTTTAAATAGCAAATATATTATATTTTACTAGCTTACTCTATTTCATTTATGCTATGTACATGTTCCTGTTGAATTTATAGGTCAATATGGGAAAAAGGTGAAGATTTCTTAAGCTAGGAAATTCAAGGATGATTTTTTTTTTTAATGGAGGTTGGGGTGTTAGGTCAGTGGTAGTACTTGCCAACTCTGTAGGAGCCCTGGATTTGATCCCATCACTAAAAGAGAAAACAGTGGTTTTCATAAAATCGGTGGTACAGTTTAGAAATCTCTGCTCTTTGAATATGACCAGTAGCAAACTAAAAAGTTGAAGCCAGCCGGGCAGTGGTGGCGCACACCTTTAATCCCAGCACTCCGGAGGCAGAGGCAGTCGGATCTCTGTGAGTTCGAGGCCAGTCTGGTCTACAAGAGCTAGCTCCAGGACAGGCTCCAAAGCTACAGAGAAACCCTGTCTCGGAAAAAAAAAAGTTGAGGTCATAGTCTTGAAGAAAAAGAATGTGTGTGTGTGTTATATAAAACAAAAACACTTATATCTAACACTTTTAACTTCAATAATTCAACAATAAAAAGATAACTCAAGCCCATCATTGTGGAGCACAGCTATAGTCCCAGAACTGAGAAGCCTGAGGCAAAAAGACCTGCTCAAGACCTTGTATCAAATGAGGGGAAAAAAGACACTGCACACACACACACACACACACACACAAAAAGAGCAAATTTTTGAATTTTTGAACCTGTGCAAGAAAAAAAATGGTCAGTGTGATTGGATATTTGAGCAAAGCATATTGAAACTGCAAACTGATACCAAAATTCTCCTTACTGAATGGCCAGAATACAGAAACTGACTATGCTAAATGGTGATGAAGAGATGAAGTACTGAAAGTAACAATACTGTGAAATCACTTTGAGAAATAGTTCTGCTTTCTTATAAAAACTAACCAATATTTACTGTGCCACCAGCAATTCTTGATGTTTTTTTGGAGACTATTGAAAATAAATACATAGCAACTCATAGTAAATATGCATAGCAATGTTATTTCTAACGACACATTATCTCCCCCAATATCTAATCAACCAATATGTAGATAATCAAATGTAATACTACTCAATGAAGAAGAGGCATAAATTATTAATATATAATAATATCAGTGAATCATTAAAAATCTCAGTTATGCCTAAATGAAAAAATAAGACACAAGGAAACACATACTATATGATTTAAATGACACCCTAAGAAAATGAATTGGTATGCCAGAAAGCCAAGCAATATTTACCCAAGCATGACTACTGGGTAAATGGCATTTGTCTCACCAAATTACAGCCTGGGTAACACGTGTCTAAATATGGCATGAGTGACTGGGAATCTTCTGGATGAAAAGAATCTTGATTGTGGTGGTGGTTATAGAACTCATCAAACTACATATCTGTTATACATTTTTTTTACTTCTAAATTAACTTCAATCTAATTGATTTTATATAAATAGAAAATAAGAAACTTCTAAGGCAACATTGTGGAAATGTGTAAGTTAATTTGTTATGTAACTAATGAAAATAGTGCTGAGGGAACACAAATATGATTAAAAAACATGGATTTAGTAACATTCAATGAAAAAAAGCCAGGATGCAAGTTTAGATGTAATTTTCATACCCTGCAGATATGCATGTGATAGATCACAAGAAAATATGTCAGGCTTTGAGGATGGTTTCCATGTGGTGGCACTCTGGGGGGATTTTAGCTTTCTATCCTATACTTTTATTTTATTTTTATTTTATGTGTATGATGCTTTCCTGTATGTACAGATGTGCACCACATGTGTGTCTGGTGCCTACAGAGGTCAGAAGGCGGTGTTGGATGTCCTGGAACTGGAATTACAGGTGGTTATGATCCACCATAAATGGGTGCTGGATACTAAACCCACCTCTTCCGCTAGAGCATCAAATGATCTTAACTTTCAAGCCATCTCTCCAGACCTCCTGCCACCTCTTCACACCATACATTTCTCTGTTTCCCAAGTACTATAATTAACTTGTATGCTTTGTGGTAAAAAGTCATCTTAAACATATCTTTAATTGAGAGCAGGCTTACAAATGTATCTCCCACTAAGACACTTTTCTGAAAAAAAAATGAAGGACAGCTTCCCTGCTGCCCTGGAAGTGACACCTGAATACAGTCATCACTAGTCTTCTGCCCTGCAGACCTGTGTATTCAGTGCGTACTTCTTGACATCATGTTGTCTTTCCCAAAATAGGATGCTCTTCTAAGATCTAGTTTATTTAAGAAAAAAAACTGTATGACAAGCCACTCAGGGAGAACTACGAGAAGATATTCAGAAGTCAAAGAACTTTTAAACTTAGTTTGACTCAGAATCTTCTAAGCTTGGTGTGTGTGTGTGTGTGTGTGTGTGTGTGTGTGTATGTGTGTGTGTGTGTCTTTTTACTGTTTAGTCTTAGAAATAGGACCCAATAGCTTTCATATGCAATAAACATACTCTACTCTCAAACTTAATCTTTAGATTTGTATTAAAATCCTAAACAAAAACAGTTTCCACTGGGGACTGGCCTCCTGTCATTTACTGACCCCTTTCTATCCTAGGATGAGCCTTGCCAGTACTGGTTTCTCAACAGAGAAAGCCTAGTATGCTAGTATA